ACCAGAAATGGCCAGACAAAAGCAATAAATTGAAGTGAGCGGCTCGTGTTGAAAGCATAAATCACTTAACGGTTATTTGGAAGACTGAGTGCAACAATTTGATGGGATGGGTACAGTATGGGACATATAAAAAATATATACATACCGCAATAAAGTATGGAAACATATTTTTCGCTGAGAATCAAGTTTTAATCAAATACTCTGATTATGCAATTTGCTTTATTTATCACCTCGTGACAATGTGGAATCACATTTCCAAGAATATTAAGTTCACAGAAATGACAATCAGTGCAGAAAAACGGAGATTATGGCAATACATGTCATTGCTTATATACAGTCTATTTTCTGTTCGACGCTTTGCTGCGCCTTAGTAGACAACTCACGCAGAAAATGTAGAAAGTAGCATTTATAACTGCATTTTTAATGCTGTTAGTGTTTGCTTTATACTTATAATATATATGTCAACAAGTCATTGCCAATGCCACGCGAAGCACAAATATGCAATGTCAGCATTTCAGCAACATTGTAAAGATATGTGAGGATGGAATTTATAAAGCTTCTACTATAGAAATATAAATCTCGTTTGAAGTTGTTATTAAATTATCTAAAGTTTTAAGTGTACGTTCAAGGTGGATCATGGGGGGAGGGGGAACTCTTCGCAGGCATTAACCTTGTAAGCTAGTTTGACCAGCTCTTCACACTCACGCATTTCCACCTCTTTCTTTTTCTGTCTGCAAATGCGTCTCTCTTCCCTCTTCAACTCTCGGTATCAATCCCAACCCGCACGTGACGCGGTCGATTGTAATGTTGCGAGCTAAGCAGTATGCAAGGAGCTTGAAATGCTGTCCAAAGTGAGATCACGCAGCATCCACTTTGCACAGAGCTTTCTCATACCTAAATATTTGTGAATGATATGACGTACATGTTCCGTTGATACATTTATAGTGCCTGCTATATGCAACAACTGAACTTTACGGTCACTGAAAATTTTTTGTGGGCTTATTTGATATTATTATCGACAACAATTTTTTTTGGGTGTCCACTGCGTTCGATGCTCATTGCGTTTAGCATACCAATCCTTGATAGTTGATTTTTCTTTTGTCAAATTTGGCTTATTCGCCCAACAATAACAGCATCAACCTATTATATACATGTATTCTAAATTTATTTACTAAATTCGTTACAGACAAGGTGTATGACTTCAAGTACTCTGCGTGTGTCTACATACGAGTACAAAATAA